CAGGGCCACAGATGCCATAAAAGGCCACGGGGACAGTAAACAAACCCGACTTCCTCCCACCACATCGATCAGTTAAAGGCAGACAATCCAAAGCACCAGTGATGAGCCTCTATTTCCAATGACTAAGAAAAATCAACAACCCCGGAGTAATGGGCCTTTCTGTCGAGTGTTTAACAAAACCAGAGAGACTAACTCAGTCTGTCTTCCTTCGCTATGAATCCATCCATGCTGCGAGGAGCATGCCTGGGATAATGAGAAATGTAGTGAAGACGAGTTCAAGGGAAAACATGCATCATTTACTCCCTCCTGTCGACTGCACGACTCAGCAGCTGGCAAAACAGTTTGTCCATCAAAAAGTTCTGCAGGAGACATCAGGAGGTGGTTTTGGTGTTATGATACAATCCATTGACTAATTATGGGCGGTGTGCAAACTGCACATACTAATGCTAGAGTAGATGGCAGCTTCTATAAACCTGCAGTATTCATTGGTTAAATGAGTGACAGTGTGTATAATACACGTGTGTAATCTATAAGTGGACAGTGTTTTAGCTGCATTCTTTCTAATGGCCAGCAGAGGGCAGCTCCATGGGCTCTTGAGTCTTATGGGGAAATTACCCAACTTCTCACTTGATTTATTAGCTCAATAAACAGCTTCCTAATGAGTTTATGGTCTCAATCACTAGTTTCAAGTCTTCTTCCATACAGCAGGATGTTCATTTAGTAAATTATGGTCCCATTTAGAGTAAAATAGACAATGCTTTAGGGCATTAATTCCCAGAGACTGGGTGTGGGTTGTGGGAGACTATTTGTGTTGCAAATTTCTTCCTGCTCCTAAATGCACTTATTTTTCCTCATTTATTAAGTATTTGAAATGTGTGCATTGTTTTGCTGATGATGGAAAAACAAGATCCATAACTCCTCCTAAACGCACTTAAATGGCCTCATTTATATATCGTGAGCGCACATACTGTAAGGAGGAGATGGGGTCTCCAAATGGCCGTTACTGTGAGGAAAAAACTAAAGCCTGTTGATCTAGATGCATTTATTTTGGCTCATTTATAAAGTATTAACAATGTGTACATTGTTTTACTGATGAGGTAAAAAAAACCAACCCTTAACTTTTCCTAAATGAACAGACTTGAGACTTGTCTGAGTGAGTTTGTTTTTGCTGCTTTAGGGCATGGCCACCTTGTGATTGACAAGAAATTCTCAATGAGTCGGCCTAGCTCAACATCAAACTCAGATCTTCACTGTCAAGCTGGGCAGTGCTGATCAAATATGAATTAATAGTCTGTCACTGTATTGCCGATTTCTCACCTAAAAGTATGGCTGCAACTAACAACTGTTTTCAAGTCAAATTACACAAAACAGCAAAATTTCACAACTAAGAAGCAACTTAAATGAAAAGATTTTTAAGAGTTGTTAATTATGTCTGTTGACAATTGATTAACTGACTAATTGTTTTAGACTCAGAACCTCATAAAAGCTTTTGTTAGAGAACTCTATGAGAGCACCAGTAGCTGCAAAAATCTGAGGCTTATGAATTATTAAATTTGCTTTAAAAAAAAGTTAATAAAAAGGGAGGAGCGAGCAATATCCCCAAGCATTTTCTCTTCTGTTTCCCTGTTGGTAATATACTGTATGTTTTAGTGGGAGTTTTGGTGCGTAACATGTCTTGTTTTGATGTTTCTCTTCTGCATTTCACTGCAGTTTCAGCTGTTCATCCATGCTAATTATTAAGTTCTGACAGTTCCTGGTCCAAACAACTTCATTAAACTTCTCCACAGAAAAACACTTTGTGAGCTACATCTTCTACAACTTCGGTACTGAAAGAAAAACAAGCTCATTTTTTAACTGTTTTTTTTTTTTTTTTTGAGTAAACTCAGTGTAATACATTCCTGTACAGCTCCCGGACTGCCGGCAGCCACCACGACACCGAGGACAGTTAATAGTTCAATTACACCTTGGTAGGTTGGCTCTCAGGGGGATTCGGTTATTACCAGCTGATTAGCTCTGCTGCTGTTCAATACAGCGACTGGATAACACTCACCTGCTTGTTAACCGGCGCTACTGCAGAGCTTGCCGGACGATGAACAATAAGAGCACAGACCAACAGAGATAAAGATATAGATATTGGAGTATCAAACTACCTTGTGAAACTATGAGAATCAATATTTCCGTTCTCAATCAAAACTTATGTTGTTGATCTATATTTCAACATGAGAGTGGGCCCATTCCTGTGCTGAGTAAAGCTTCAAAGACACGCTGCCTGTACAAGAACGCTGTGCACAGACACACCTAATGATGCCTCGCTGTGATTGACAGACATAAACCAGCTTTTCGCAGGCTCTGCGCTGAGGTACCCTCTTTTAATGCTGAATTCTGGATCCAGTTGAAGAGGGGATAATTATCTCTGCTGGTGGTATGGATCTGCTCCAGCAAAGTGGAACATGCAGGGAAAAGAGTGGATGTAGGAGCATTAATGTCTGAGGAAATAAAATAAAAAAGCACCAGGCTGTAACAGAGATGGACTAACTATGAGAACAAAGAGGATGTTGAATCTTTAAACTCAGACATGTTGAATGAGTTGAAGTGGCGTATGCAGCTGCTCGTACCTCTTTAAATCCTCCTGCGTGTTTGTGATGGGAAGCAGCTCTCAGCACCTCATCCATCTGTGGACTGAGAGCTCAAAAGCTCTGCAAAGTTGAAGGAACATCATATTAATACACGGCTGATAGGATATATTATATATATATATTGAAACGCCGCTCGCAGACCAACCACATCACACTCAATTCTTTTCATATTTATCCCTTTCTTTCTCTTTATGTGTCTGTAAAGTGATTTTTTGTTAGGGTCTGCATTCTTATTACATTTCAAATTGTTGAGGAAATGCCTCCAATTGTGCTGAATATAGTTCTCAGAGGAATATAATTGGCAAAACAATCTCACCTCAAGGTCCAATTAGTGGCTGTTCTGGAGCTTTCAAGAATGTCACAGGATCACCGAAATCCTGGTAGAAGGGGAATTAATTAACATTAACTATGACTGTGGGGTTTTTTTTAAGCTTCATGTTTGCTACTGTAACACTTGAATGCAAAAGAGTCATCATTAATTAATGAATGCTATTAATTACACCTGTGCTTTTCTTCTTGATTTGACAAGTCAAAACGTCTGCCGAGGAAAGGGCCTCCACCCTGGCACAGCTGCAAAAGAAAGAAGTTGAAATTTAAGATAATAACTGGGGGATAAGAAGTCTTTATTGATCCCAAGAGGAGACTCAGACTCAAGTGTTGCAGCATCACAATGACAGATATAAGTAGTGATCAAAAGAAAGATAATTAAGTGCCAGAACAGCCAAAAAAAAGAAGAATAGAGCTATGTAGCAGGTTTTTCTGCAACCAGCACACAATCAAGCACCACAGACCAAATAATAAACCCTATTTTATTATTTCCTCAGCCGCACACACCTTCAACAACCAAGGCTTCTTTAGCCCTCTTACAAATCTATAACGATTAACTCCAGACATCCTCTCTGGTTTGTGTGCAGCGGCCAACTCGGCTCCAGCACACTGCTGCATTTAGAGAGGAGGGAGTGATTACTCAATGAGCATCAGCTGAGAGCATCAACTCACCTGGTGCTGCTCATACAAGCCGTCCACACACACCTCTTTCTCTCTCCTACAGCTGAGTGTAAGCAAAGCCCACCTCCACAAAGTAAAACTGGAAACTGCACAAGGCAAGCAGTATACGTACAGTGTACTATGTTTATATAGAGAGGGGCCATTCCACCGTCTGTGGAACATTACATGAATAAATGTGCATGAAAACTATCTTTATAAAACACGATATTATTAAGCACTTTGTTCTAAATGCAATTTCTAGCAAAACCATCATGTATCATGTATAATAAATACTACCAACACTAACACTACACTTCACAGTTAAATATATTGAATAGAATCCATCAGAAATCTTATTTTTCATCATTGTTGTGTGACTATTTTCAATTTAGACATAAAATTATTACATATTAGTTAAAATAAACATTTTAGTTGTGTCCTTCAGGTTTTCACTCAGTCCTGTTACTCTTCTTAACATTTAGGACATTTCTCAAGTCACATAATCAACAACAGGGAGCATCATTTGAGTCTTCTGAAGCCCAAAAGCAACGTATCTCACTCAAAAATTAATATAACTAGTAGTGTAACTAATTACTGTTGGCAGGGAATAATAAGTAAAGTAAGAAATTACATTTTTTGAGTAACTAGCCCAAGTTACACTGGTGGGGAATTGGGGGATTGTCTCCCTTTATCATCAGTCATTCTGTTTGTTTTCTACTGGGTTTGTATTTTTATACAATACTACATTGCTGTATCTGTATTTTACAACAATGTGTAACATGAGTCCAACACAGTGAGTGTCTGTCGGTCCATTCAGTAGCTGTTCTGGAGCTTTCAACAATGTCACAGGATCTCCGAAACTCTGAAAACTGACATATTTGAAGGCAGACTTCTGACATGTTGTGGCAGAAATGGAAACCCTGGTTACAAAGAGAATCAATGAACACACATTAACTTTAGCTCCATGTTTGCTACTGTAACACCTACATGGAAATGAGTCATCATTAATTAATGAATGCTGTTAATTATTAATTCATTATTAACTGAGTAATAAATAAATACAAATTCAGTAACATGCCTGGTGGGGGTTGCTTCTCTTTCTCACTGTTTGTTTTACTGGATTTTTATTTCCATACAATCCTCTGTGACCTTACCTTCCCTCTATGTGAGGACAAGCACCGCATTAAAGCGGGTAACGTGCGCCACCTAGCGGTGACTGCACCGACCTCTCTGTGCACTGTTGCCCCCCCCAAACCAAAAAAAGCAGCCTTTAAAAACATGGCAGCGAGCGCGCGCTTTGGGCCCCCCCACGCGCTGATAAAGCTGCAGCAGGTCGCGCGCAGCCAGGTATCATCACTCACTCACCGAGCCCTGTGTGCGCGTTCACGCGGCAAGATTTGGAGATGTCGGTGCCGTCTCCGCGCGCCCGGTGGCGGAGAGGAAAGTTATTTGGTCTCCGGAAAGAAATCCAACTTTAAAAGGACAAAAATGTTGAGGTGAGTTCCTGTAAATCAGTTGTTTGTTTGCTTCTTTCAACTGTTAAAGGGGTTTGTGCTTTAAAACACGTTCAATAGACTTCAATCGATTAGCTTTTAACTGATATGTGCGCGTTACTCTGAGCGCGCGCCTGTGTGTGTTTCTCCATTGATCGATCAGTTGAGGGAGAATAATGGTGAAATATTACATTTAGTTTTATTTACTGTGTTTTTTTGTGTGTTTATCTCCGACACATTGCACAGTGATTCAGGCAGAACAAGAACTTTCTGTTTCCGTCCTCAGTTTGAGACTCGGAGCCGCTTTGGATGAGTTTTGTGTGTGTTAGACCTTCACAACCATACACAACCGTACAGTTGTGTTATAAAGCACACATTAGACCAACAAAAAGGATTGATCACTTTTTATGTGTTGCACATAAACTGTAAACTTGTAAAGTCCTGCACTCACAGTGTTTTATAACTTTATGTACTTTTGCTCATAGTCTTATTGAGAACAATGGGTCATGTAAGGATATTATACGTCTTTTAATGTAAAATCAGATTTTTAGCCTTTAGACATACAAAGAAAAAGCCACTCGAGAAATGTGCCTTTGTAATGTACAATAACTGTTAGCTGTCAGTGCATCGCTTCTTTTGTGTGTAAAATCTTGGTATGAAAAGTTACTTAAGCTGTAAAATAAAGTATAAAGTAGCAGAATATGTATAAAGTAAAGTAAATTGTACTTTAGTAAATCAGAATCGGGTTTATTGCCAAGTAAGTTTACACATAGGAGGAATTTTCATTGATGCATTGGTGCATAAGAATCACAATCAAGCAATTTTTAAATATAAATAAAGATAGAAAGATCTACACAACAGAGACTCCCAGTTTTGTTTTAAGCTTGCAGTAAAATAATCTTAGTTAAGCTTTAAAGGGAAACATTAGTCCTCTATTAAAAGTAACACATGTTTATTTGCCAAAAAGGCAAAAAACAAACTTAAAGGAATAACTTTTTTAGTGTAGTTGCATTAATCCTCACAGACAGCCACTGAGGAATGTGGGAGAAACATCTTGAGTTTCCTGTTGGCCCCTTTTCTATATATATATATATGTGTGTGTGTGTGTGTGTGTGTGTTCCACACAGAAAGAGGTTTTTAAGCTTTTCAGTGAAAAGAAAAGGAAAAGAAAAGGAGTCAGAAGAGCTTTGGGGCAGGAGAGAGCTCTGTGTGATACAGCGAGTGTAACACAAATTAATCTGATTAAAGAATTACGGCATTCCACGGCAGAAGCTCACATAATCATCCGGGGCAAAAAAAAGCAAAAGCAGGTTTACAGTGTTGTAATATTGAAAGTTCAGCTGCCCTGTGGTCATTTGTTCTTTCCAAAGCCGTATCTCTGCTTTATAAATGTCACACCTAATTACAAATCAATTAGATGGTATACCTAGAGAGCTGTTCCCGGCAGCCAATCGCAGAGAGTTTACGCACATCCACACAAGTGACCAGGTAGGGCAGGACGGCGGTTAATGAGTGACTAGACCAGGGCAGAAGGGCAGGTATACTTTAGGAGTGTGTAAATGTGGGATCACGTTGGCTAAATTAAACTGCACATAATCCAAAAATACTCCCCCGAGGACTGAAAGCACCAGTAGGTAAGAGGTCAAAGTTCTTAAGAGTTTTGTTAACAGGGGTTTGGTCTTTGTTGAGGTTTAGGCAGCGGGTTTAGATGTGTGTTTTACTGGAGCTGATAGTCCAAACATATCTCCACACTGTTTTTGAAGATGTTGACTTTGTGGCTGCTCGAGAGAATGAATTTAATGTGTGTTGTTGGTTGTGGTTGCTCCAATTTAGCAGAAAAGTCTCCGTACGGCAAACACAGCGAAGTGCAAACAAAGGGCAAGTGTAGTTCAGCTCTTTTTGCGCTTCAGATAAAGATCAGCTTTATGTGTGTGTTGTAGGTGTGCCACATTTAGACACAGACCAAAACACTGCTGATTGTATTCTCCTCCACAGCGGCTCAGAGGTGCTTTGGGTTGCAACAAAAAATGAAAAATCAGGAAAATTTCTCGCAGAAATACCCTCAAGTGTGGAGATAATGTCACTCTTCTCCGGTTTGATGTCACCCAATCAGACTGAAACCACCAATTATTCTCCCCTCGACAGATGAGCTACCATCCATAATCGAGCTCGGACAATCAGCCGAAAAAACCCTGATTGGACTCTTTTCCTCTCGAAAACGAGTTGCTGCCTGCAGCCGCCGTGGGAACCGGAGTCGCCATGGAGACAGTGGTGATCGTGGCCATCGGGGTGTTGGCCACTATTTTCCTGGCCTCCTTCGTTGCCCTGGTGGTGGTGTGCAGACACCGCTACTGCCACCCTCACCACCTGCTGCACCACTTCGACTCCAAGTCAGTGAATCGGTGCAAAAAAGCATCTAAATTAAACTTAACTAAAAAGAATTTAAGGTCTAAAAATGTACTGTAATGTCTATTATCTATTGTCTATTGGTTTTATTGGTCCAGGTGATTTTCTGCACGGCCTTTGTGCTGTTTGACAGGGCCGGGGAAAAGGGGAAAGCTTTCTGGGGTCCAGCAATAATCATTTTCATCCTAAAGCTATGTTGATACTGTGGAAGCACATTTCCACCAATGTGGCAGGGCAAAAAAGATTTTAATGAGAAAACGTTCTCAAAATATTGACTTTGTATCTCAAAATAATGACTTTGAGATACTAAGTCATTATTTTGAGAAAGTTTCTCATTATAATGACCTTCTATAAGATACTGTACAAAATAGTGGAGAGATGCTGGGAAACAAGGGAGAGAGATGAGACAAAGGTCCCCAAACTAGAGACGCTGCTGTTCATGATTGCCGTCTTAACCTCTAAACCACAGTCACTCCATAAATGTACTTTCCAACCACAGCTTTACCTCAACATTTTATATCTGTGCGCTGTTTTTCCCCTGTGTTTTCATCCTATTGATGCCCTTTACACTTCGATAAGTCACTGTATGTTCAATCAATCCCAGGTAGCAAAATAAAAGGTCGCAAAGCATCTTAAATATTGATTCCCACAACCTTCAGATATCCAGTAGTCTATAAGATACTGCTTTGAAGTAGACATCAAATGTAGTCATTTAGCCTATCTTCATTTCAGGGCTACTTTAGCCAGTTAGGGGGAACCCAGAAAACATTTTTTGGTATTTGACTCTGTTTCCCCTGTTCTGTCTCACAGACCCACAGTGGATCTGATCGGAGCCATGGAGACCCAGAGTGAGCCGTCGGAGCTGGAGCTGGACGATGTGGTCATCACCAACCCTCACATTGAGGCCATCTTGGAGAATGAGGACTGGATAGAGGACGCCTCGTACGTCTTTGGTGGCATTGTGGCATGATACAAGAATGTTTTTTACGCCCAGATCGGACCAAAGATTCACGTCGAGCAGCGGATGCGAACTGACCCATTTATGCTCGACTCGAACCGGCTGCGACTCAGCTTGTCAAGTCCAAAGTGACAGGTTGTAGAACGTAAGCCACAGCACCTGTTTCAGTCAGAGAAAGTGAAAGTGTGCATCCTGCTCATGGTTAAGTTGTAAAAATCTTGGTCCACCACAGAGCGTCTCTGCTGGAGCGCTGTCAGCTGAAGAGTCAGTCAGTAGAGGAGGTTGTGCCACCGCCCGGTTCAAGAAGGTCTTCACCCAGTCACGAGCAAGAGCGTTAGTTCATAAAGTTTACAACCTGCCATGCTGTCGCTCTGTGTACAATGACACAGTTAAAAAACTGACAAATGGAGAGTCAATCTTCTCGACTGATGATTCGAATCATCAACTTTTCAGGGGGCGGTCCTATTCAATAGCCAACCAGCTCTTAGCGAAGTCAGCCTATTCAAGTCAGTTAAGAACTGTCAGCTGGCAGAGTTTTGTGTCTGTTGGACACGAGCCTTAAAATTGACTTAATAAAGTAAATGGACGGCTCCAAATTCAACGTTCTTGTTTTTTAATGTTTGCTTTTCATCAATAAACTGCGATTGTACCTCACTGTCACTCTCCTCATTCATATTTTAAGGTGCTAAAGAAAAAAAGCAGGAAAAGTTAGAATGAAATTACAGAGAGTCGTTGCTCTGGAGTCTTTGGTCTAAACTGGGCTTAAAAAGTTACGTCTCTCAGTGCTACAACTGTACTTTGTCAGCGATTGCAACTAATTCTGTGAATTTTTCTCCGACAGCGGATTGGTCTCTCACTGCATCTCTATCCTGAAGGTAACTTGGGTTTCTTACGCTAGTTTTTTGCCCATGTATTTATTCCCCAATTGACCCACATTAACACACGATATACTTCCACATAAGATCTGCCACACTTTGACTGAAAAGCTGGTTGCCATGACGATGGGTTCCGGGGCAAAGGTCAAAGCCCCAGCCAGCCTGAGTGACATCATCACCGTGGCCAAACGCATCAGCCCGAGGTAAGCGTGCCGGTGTTTTCTTTCGCGACAACTCAACATTACGCACATTATGGGCCTCTACTGCTAACCTGCATCCTCCTCGCATTCCTCTCTGTCTCGTCTCGCAGGGTCGACGACGTGGTCCGATCCATGTATCCTCCTCTGGATCCAATCCTGCTGGACGCCAGGTAATCACATTTGTTGTCCCATCATTTTAAATGAACTTTTTTGAGTTTGATAGCTTAATGCAAAGACCTGCTATTGTGATTGATTAGGTGTCTGTAAGAGCTGGAGAGGAGCGACTGCTTGACTTGATTTATCCATAATGTAATAACCGTTGATGTATACAGAGGTAGGGACGGTAATACAAATGCTCAGAGTGTCACAGCAGATAAATGCTACCAGGAAAACTCAAGATTTTCGTGTTTTTCATCATTTAATCACATTGGATTGGAAGTTTATGCATTGCAATTTATGTGATATGTTATTTCCATTCCAGCCAACTCGCCATAATCCAGTTTTTTTTCCCTCAAATTTAGAAATAAGTGTTGTTATGTAATATGTATCTTCCAGCAGCAGCAGCAGCCAAAAAAAGCCATTTAAATAGATTTGTCCTTTTCTTCCTCCTCAGGGCCACTGCTCTCCTGCTTTCAGTCAGCCACCTGGTGCTGGTCACCCGCAATGCCTGTCACATGTCCGGCAGTATGGACTGGATCGACCAGTCGCTCCACGCAGCCGAGGATCACATGGTGGTTTTGCGCGAGGCAGCGCTGGCTTCTGAACCGGAGCGATACATGCCCGGAGCTGACGCACAGAGAGAACAAGCCATTTAGAGCAAAACACAAATACTTACACAAACAAACAGTCAATTTTATCCTTGAGCTGCCTCTTTCAACAAAAAAAATCTGCACTCAATTGATGCTGAACAGGCGCATATTCTGCCAGGCGGTGTTGAAAAAGGCACGCTTCCCAAACTCATCATCCAGGCCAAATTAATAAGGACACTTCTGAGCGGTAAACAGGCTGTTCTCATGGAAGCAGAGACTTCACTCTGCGCCTCATTTTCACATCTCACATAAAAAGGATGTTTTTCTTTCATCATCAAAAAGTGCTCCAGCTACATGAAGTAGATGTCACACATTCAGACACATTTTTTTTGTATGTAACCCCGCGGCAGATCTTTTTAGAGTTGGTCTGTTGACGGTGTAAGCTGCCTGCGAAGTGAAAGGCCTTTGGAAAATTGTGTGAGTGCACCATCAAGCCAGCGGTGGGCCTAAATCCAATCTTGCCGGCACAGCACAGTCACATGGAGGCTTAGTCAGCTAATCCATTCTGAGGAAAATAACACCCAGTTAGCCAGTGAACCCAAAGGGGGTTCCAACTCAGCGGACCAGCAGAAGACCAACCCGACTTATTTACAATTTGTGGGGTCAGCCTGGCTTGTGGAACATCCCTCAGACACTCACGCTGGTAGAAATCACCGGTCTGTGAGCTTTCAGAGACCAGCAGCTGTAGTTTTAGCCACATCAGCACCAGAGTAAAAGGTTTTTTTCCAGTTAAATAATGCCCCTTTGACCTATTACTGCGCTGTAATATGTTTAATTGATTGTTTTTAGCCACGCTAGAAGCACGTCTTTCTGTCCATCCACCACTTCGGTCAACGCTGAAATATCTCAACCCCGTACTGGAGGGATTTGAAGAATCTGGACAGACGTTCGTGGCTCCCAGAGGATGAATCCTAATGACTTTGGCGATCCCCTGAACTTTCCTCCACAACTTGGATTGCCATGAAATTTGGCACAGATATTCATGAACCCCACAGGATGAATCCTAATTACTTCGGTGATCACATTGCGCCAGTTAAAGGTCCAGTGTGTAACATTTGGCAGGTTCTATTGGCAGAAATAGAATATAATGCAACTACACCACTAGATGCCACTAAATCCTCCACACTGGTCCTTTAAGTTGAATGTGTCCAATACTTTCAAATACCTGCACAGTTAATGACATTCCCATCAGCCTGTATTGTGTGTTTAGTGCCGGTTAGCAAACACTATACCTGCTACACACATCAGTTAGCATTGTCATTGTGAGCATGTTAGCACGCTGACGTTAGCATTTAGCTCAGTGCAGCCTCACAGAGCTGCTAGCGTGATTGAAGAAGTCTATTTTTTTCCTTGTACGAAGTCAGTGCTAGACAGTGAGTCAAGAAACAGATCTTTAATTCTGACAACACAGTGTTTAAAAAAGCTATAATTTGCTCTCAGATTCAACTGTACTAGCTGTTTCTATCTACATGTGGGCAAGAATAAGGATATTTTAAGTTTAAGTGCATCCCTATTAGCCTTTGATTGTTTTTTCCTGTTAGAAATATTGAGCTTTCACACACTATTGAACAGTACAGTCTGTCTGTATGTGTTGTCGTGTTGTGGGGATGTTTTGAACAGTGTGTTGATTGAGGTGAAGCAGATTTAACGTGTTGTTTTGGGCCAGAGGGATGTTATTGGAGCATATCTACCTGCTCTTCCATGCATGGCTAATACTGAATCCCCAAGGAGTCCTAATAAGGCATTACCCACAGCCACAGTGAACACAAGGGCTTAGGCTTCAATACACATGGCACAAAACCCTTGTACACACAAGGCTGGCAGACAAATGAACACATCCGTACATCGTATGACACATCATAGACTGTGGAGTGAAACAGATTTCGGTGACAATCAGGAAGAGAAGCTGTTTTTTTAAATGTGTTAACTGAACTTAAAGCAAAAAACTGCAGCTCTGAGCATGCAGAGGTGTTGGATGGAGGAGGAAACATTTAGAAAGTGGTTAGCCTTTTATTCTTTTTTCGTTCACATCGTTTATTAGCATTGATCTTTTTTTTTTGTAAGCACTCCTTTTTGTTTTCTCGTCCTTGTTACTGATGTCCTTCCCTTACTGCCACACACCTTTTCTTTTTTTTTACCTTTCATTGATTTGTACAGATAAAATGAAGTTTCATAGGAAAATGTGTTTTGTTTTTGCTGTTTTTGAATAGCTACGGAGAAATCCATGTCTGATAAAAAGTCCACACACTCATACTAATTTGACATAAATAAAAGTGAATTCCTTTCCTCTTTTTATTACGTTGTGAGCAGTCCTTTGTGCAGCAACATGGTGCAAATATCTCCCCTGCCGTCTTCCCTTCTCGGTGGAGGAGGAAGTCCCTGCTGCAGGAGCGTCAGTCTGCCTCCACTTGTTCTCACCGTTTAGCAAAGCAGCCCTTTGCTTTTCTTCAGATCAATTTGCTTCCAGCTGGGGAGGGAGGCGTATTCATCTCTCTTCATTTCCAAAATAGTCTGGAACATAATTGTAGTGATTTATTTATGGAGGAAACGATGTAAAAATCAATCGACATAATAAAATATAAATGTTAAAGTTTAAACTTCCTCTCAGGATTGATCATAGAGCGTCTATTGTCATTTTGAAAAATATGGTGAACACTGCAGCCTGCTGGTTGAAAGATATCACTGCACGCTGCTTCGTCAGCTTACCTGGAAGTCTTGATCAGACAGGTAGACCTCCAGGTGATGGGGGTCCACCCCTTCAGGCAAGGGGCTCCGCAGCAGCTCCTCCAGAGGGTACTGGGTCTTCATGAGCTGGGCCAGGGCGTCCTGCACCAAGGTCAGCTTCACCCGCCCCGCGTCGCCCTGACACACACATATCAAACACAAACCAGGGAAAGAGACAGACTGTTAATAACTGGACTAAAAAGAAATATGTGATGTGTATAGTGGATTTTCTAGAATAGGAGACTTCATTACTTTATTAATTACCAAAGTAACCTTGTTGAATTTAACTGATAACTGAATTGTGAAAAAAATAACAAACATTCATTTATTTTAATTAATTGAGGCAGTTATTGATGGATAACTCTCCAAAATTCTTCCTCTTGTAAGCATGATTATTTTACCTGTAGCCTGTGGCTAAAGCACAAAAACAGAGTGAACGGCCCCTTTTCTTGCCCTTTAATTTATTTACATTGGCAGAAATGTCTAAAGAAATGCTGAAAGGTTATGGAACAGAACTTGACTGCCAATTCCTAGAAAGACTCACAGCTCAGGATGAATTTACTTCTTTAAAATCCTCCTGGCTGCAAGCAAGAAAACAATCACACACAAAACAGCCTCCATACTTGGAGAAATGGACAACATATATGTGCTTATACGATGTAATCCATTACATAAGTCTTCTTTTTGCCTGATAATGTCAATAAAACCATCTCTGTGAAGTTGTGAACCCCAACAAGACCCAACTGTGTCTGCAGCTTCTACCTGATCATATAACTTCATAGAGCTGGTACCTGTGTGTGGGGTCCCAGGCTCCTCTCCCAGCGGGGGAACACATTAGTGAAGGTGAGAGGTTCTGCCCCCTCAAAGATGAGGTAGGCCTGCGGTGGGCGTCTTGTGTTCATCTCTGGGATGCAGAGAAAAATCACATCGCATCATTTACACACATCAACTATCAGCAAACCCCCTTTTCTGAGGCATTCCCGTTAAACAGCTCCCTCCTACCTTTGCAGTACTGCAGCGCTGTCTGCATGGCACACCTCCTCTCACTGTGCCAGCGGCTCCAGGCCGAAGCCGAGCTCTCGGTCTGCTCGGGCTGACCCCTCTGCCACAGGTAGACCTCCAGACGGTTGTCGAGCAGGAACAAGGCTGGCGGACAGACAAGAAAGTTGGGTGAATGTATGAGACAAGAAAGTAGAATTAGATTAGAATATTAAATTATGTTTGACTTTGATGTCACTGTGAGATTTTTTGGGGGGGTTAACAGCAAAGAAAAAGGCAAAGTAATGTGTAATAAAGCACATTTTTGATGGAATATATGAATTATTCGTATATCTACAGGCTATAGATAATAAGTGAACCATCTCCATGACAACTGAGCAATGAGTATGTGTTTAAGAGCTCTAGAAACCCCTCAATAAGTGGACCTTGTGCTAAGAGTTTTTTTGTCAAACTACTATTTTTAAGATGAATAATCAGTGCTTGAAATGATTCAGATTTTTGTTAACATGAGTACCCTTATTAACCTTCTTATAATGTACTTCAGTGGCCCCCAAAACCCCTCAAGCAAGTTTTTGGCCCTTAACTGGACATAACTGCACTAAAAATGTTCCTGTTATGGATTAAAATGGCAAAATAATTAGGATTATGTTGTGTTTAGGGTTAGGAATGTGGCAAATTAGGGTAATGGCATCTTTTTTGGTTTAATTTAGGCACCCGAGAAAAATGTGAAAGAGCTGCTCTCACTTGGCTGCGGTACGGAGTACAGACTCTCTTGGACGAAGGGCATCGCCATCACGAGCCCTGGCAGCCGTGCTGGACTCTGCAGCTCTTCGGCCTGGAAGCTCCCCGAGGAGGTGCTCAGGTGGAAGAGGCGAGGTGTGAAGTTGTACTTTCCTGGATCTGACAGAAGACGGACATTTCTTGTTTTTACTCTGATTTTCAGAGGTGGAATGTAACTAAGAACTGTACTTAAGCACAGATTTCAGGTTCTTGTACTTTTGTACTTTTAGTCTTTTCGTTAAGAATTTTGCATACAAAGAGCTTATAAAATATGATGTTTAGTTATGAATTAATTAACAGTATTTACAACTACAACTGAATCAAATAGTTGATAAATCAATTCAATTCAAAGGAGCTTTATTGGCATGGGAAACAGACGTGTTAAATAAAAACAAATATGTACATAAACAGAAGAAATGTGGATTTTCTATTTGAAATACACAGTATATAAGTAAAAGAATAACTTAAAGTTATAAAAATATAAAAATATTAATTAAAAAAAAAGAATAAATTAGTCAATTGACTGAAAATTCAATAATTTTTCATGGAAAAACATTTCATGGTTCCAGCTTCTCAAATTTGAGGATTTGTTGCTTTTGCTTTTTTAATTTTTTAACAATTTCATTGTATTATTAAAAATTCTAAGCATTGTGATGGCATTTTTCACTATTTGAATTTGAATTTCTGAATTTTTACAGATCAAACAATCCAATAATCAATGGAGGAAACGAGGAGATCTTTAAGTAAAGAATCTGAATACTTCTTCCAGTAGTGAGGACTTTAAGGTTTACAGGGCTGAGAGAAATGTCGGGGGTGGAGAGAACCAACGTTGTGTTCTACCTTGCAGCATGCAGTCGTAGGCCTTCCTGTCCATCTGTCCCAGGGCTGCCCAGAAGTCTGCAGGCTCTGAACCTTCCTCAACCACCTGCACCTGCACTGGGCTGCTTTGGCTGAGACACAACTCTGGTGGAAACCTGACAAACACACAAGATTCATGAGGTGGGAAATGCTTCGGTGTTAAAAACGTCACTGGATCCCACAATCTTCTGAAAGCCCACCCAGAGTGAGTGTGTGTGTGTGTGTGTGTGTGTGTGTGTGTGAGACTTACATCTGAGTGAGACGCTCCACTGCCCTCTTGCTGACCTCTCTGGAGTTGGCATGAGCTTTACAGCCAGTCCAGAGATACAGCACCCCCTGCTGGCTGTTGAGCAGGACAACAGAACCCCTGGACCTCAGACCTGCAGAGCAGCAATCCACCTCCAGAAGCGAGGCCTCCTCTGGGAGCGCTCCTCGCACACAGAACAAACGCCACTCTGCTGCAGCAGACGGATGAGAATATATCTTTAAAATCACATGACAAAACAAGCGCAATAGATACAGGAAAACAATAAATATGTCCTTACTGCACCTGCATTTGTGGGGGCCTCCTCTCGCTTGCCCCTGTGAATGACGAGGCCTCCCTGGAAGAGCTGCAGGAAACAGGGAGGCTCCTTTCCCTGAGGTACCACCACCTGCAGAGACAGACCTTAACTCAGTACTTGTATTTATTTTAGTAAAAGTTTAATCAAAATCAATTAGTCAATCAGACTTTATTTGTAAAACACTTTTCATACAAGCAAAATGTAACACTAAGTGCTTTACACATTAAAACACATTAAAACACGAAACTGAGGAAACACTGAAGGAAGAATTAGAAAAAGATAAGTCAAGTGTATAAATCGATGAAGTAGAGTTAAAATGTATGATACATATAATAATAATAATAACATAAATAGATAAATTAGTAAGTAAATACAAATCAATTAAAAGACTAAAAAGGTAGGTTTTGAGTTTAAAAATTCAAAAAAGCTCTGTATTCAACATTTCACAGACATATTTATTAGTAGAGTATAAAAGTACACTGAAGTTAAAGTAGCTACAGTAAAAGAAAAAGTAAAGTCTTTCTGGTGGTTCAGATGTTCAGTGCACTTCTGGTATTGTACCCTTTAAAAATGCAGGATGAGGAGATCTCTGATTTATGACGACTCTGGCCTGATTCAAAGCCCCAATTAATATGTGATGATGTAAGGTTTGGTGTTTTGTGCCAAATGGTGTAAAAATTTAACACATTTTCATGATCTGTTATGGCCGCAGTGATAAAGTTCAATGAGAAAAGATATGTATTTGGTAAAATGTCTGAAGATTTGGAAATAAAACAATTTATTGATCTTTATATATTTTTGTTCAGAGCTTCACTGATGTGCCAGAATAATGTTTTCCCTGTGTTCACTGTGTTCCACCAGCTTTTCTGTATTTTTAGTATTAATTGTACGCCTCACAGAACTACCCAAGAGGTGGAGCTTT